GACTGGCCCGCCTCAGGCGGGCCCGAGAAGAGGCGCAAACACTTTCAAGCACCAGCCGAAAGCGCTCGAACACTTCCCTCCTGCGATCCTCGAAGGCTGGAGGCAAAATTTGCCAGCAGGAGGAGGAGGGGGGCGCCGCCACTCCCCGTTGAGGCCCCCAGCGGCGAGGGCAAGGGCGCCGGCAAGGGCCAGAGCCGCAGCAAGATCCGCGCCAGCGCCCAGGCGGCGCGGAGCACCGCAGATGCGCCCAAGGCGCAGGACGCGGACTCGGCTCCCGCCGATAGCGCGGCTGCTGAAGGGAGTCCTCGCCAGTGCCGCCGCCGCCGCCGTCGTCGCCGCGAGGGAACCACGCCGCCGAGGGCCCCCAACGCGTTCAGAAACGTCCCTCCTCGATCCCCGAGGTTCGAGGGCAAAGCTCCGCAAGCTTAACTGCCGAGGACCCCATCATCGCCCAGGACGGCCACCAGATCGCTCACCACCTCTGGCGCCGTCGTCTTCGCCGTCGTCGCCGTCGCCGCCGTCGCCGCCGTGGTCGGAGCCTGGCTGCCCGAGGACCCGATCACCCCCCGCACTGCCTCCAGACCGCCTACCAATCTCGCCTTCCCCGCACGACTGCGGCGTGTAGCTGTGCCTGTCTGTCTGTCCGGCTGCCTGAGGACCCGACCATTGCCAGCACGGCCTCCAGATCTCACCACCCACCGAACCACCCCAACCCAGCCCGAAGGCCCCAATCTGCCCTCCATTCCCAGTGTGGGGGGGGTGCGTCGGGGAGCAGGGAAAAAGCACAGATGGAACCCGTACCCCGCCTCCCAACCCGAACTTCGTGCCTTCGGGTTGGGCTGGGGTGGCCTGGCCGTTCCCCCACCCGTGGGGCGTGCTGTCGTGCCCCGTGTCGCTGCTCGGTCCCGCCTGCGCCGCGCCCGCTCGCAGACGCCGTGCGCGCCCTCTTTCTGCCCTTCGCCGCCGAGGACCCCGTCACCCCCAGCACGGCCACCGGATCGCCCACCACCTCCGGCGCCGACAGCGATGCTGGGAGCCCCACCGTGGGCGGCGACGCAGCGCCCGCCGGCGCCGGGGGCACCGCGCGCCGCCGCCGCCGCGGCGGTCGAGGCGGGTCGGGGCGCGGACGGCGGGGGAGGAGCTCAGGAGGAGGAAGCGGTGCCGGTATCGCTGCCCTTGCCTCGTTTTCGCCATGCCGCTACCCTCGCCTCGTTTTCGTTTTTTTTGGGCCTCCTGGGAGGCCCTCGTCGCCACGGCTGGACTCGCCTCGAACTCCTGCCCAGGGGGTAGCAGTATCGACATTTGCGGGTTTCCCCCGCTTCTGGTGTTCTCGGGATGGCGGCACGTATGAGTGGGTGTCTGAAGTGTTTCAGTCTCAGCGAACGGCGGTGCGGTCTTAGGCACGTGGTGACGCCGACCTGCGTTGTGCCAGCCGGAGTCTCGCATCGAGTGGACGTGTCGGGGCATCATGCAGGACTTCTGGCTCCAGCCAGTCAACGCGCTGTCAACCTCTCTTTACCCAAAGAGTCCCATCACCCTCTCCCTCCATCTCAGCATTCCTGTTCGTTTCCCAAAGGGTCCGGTCCCCCTCTCTCTCCATCTCGCCCTTGCTTCCTCGTGTCCTTGCTCAGTGGGCGGGAGAGGCCGTTTTTGACCCATTGCTGGCCGAGGCCCTGGTCTCCCGAAGCCGTCGTTGCTAGATCCAGGCGGTGTCAGAAAGCCCGCGACATCGACCTCGTGACACAGACAGGCACACGGTTCGAGTGACGACCAGTCGGCGGGGGTCGTCCATCCAGGTGACTCATGCGACCACGCTTTATTTCCGCTTCCGGATCATCACCACCCACCAAGCCACCCCAACCCAACCCGAAGGCCCCAATTTGCCCTTCATTGCTAGTGGGGAGTCGGGGAACATTTGAAAGCACGCATCTGAAGCCCGCATCCTCCCCCAACCCGAAGCTCGGGTCTTCGGATTGGGGTGGTTTAGTAGGTACGTAGTCAGATGACTTCCGGCGTACCAGGAAGTTGGGACACACGCCACGCGGCCGGCCTGGGCGCCAGCATGGATTTCCATGCCGCCAGATGCCTCTCCGGCGCTCCGCCCTTGCGTGGCCGTGCAGGCCGGGCTTCCGCATGTGTGCGTGTCCAGCGCGTGGCCCGCGGACCTTCCACGCGTGAATCCAGCTGTGCGTGCTCACAGCATCCTGGTGCAGTCAACTCGCATAGTCAGGATGGGAAGCCTTCCCAAGGGCACCCTTTCATCCTTGCCCCGTCGGCCCATCCTTGGCCACTTTCGCTAGCCGCACCCCGCTCGACGAGCCTCGAAATGGCCTTCCGAGGCCCTTGCATCCTGATCGTGCGTCTTTATTACACAGCTGGGACACAAGTCTCTTCAATTTGCCATGCTGATGATATCTCCTATCCCTCCTTAGATATTTTAAACATGATCTGATGACTGCGTCATTCGGCGGAGCAGTTTCCGATCCCCTTACTGCCTATACTCTCTGCTTACCCCAAACCGGATTGGAAAGTACCCTCCCCCAAAACCCCATGAGTTATCGAGCGGGATGCGCCCCCGCGCGGCGTAGTTGTGGAGTATTTCGATTCCGAACTACTCCGCTGATGCGCTCTTGGCGAAGGTACGTTGAAAGAACATTTCGCCACGGCGACGTATACGGGTTGACGCTACGGGCTGACGGCACGTCGTTCGCTGCTGGGAGTGGCGGCCAGAGCCCTCAGCCTGGAAGGCGGCGGGGGCCGCGGCGACCCAGCGGCCGCCGGCGGCGCAGGCCCGCAGGCCGCAGCGAAGACGCAGCGCGGCGAGGCCGCGGAGGGGGCCGCAGGCGCTCCCGCTCCAAGCCTGTGTTGCCCTTGCCGTGGATTGCTGTGTCATGGGCTTGCTATGTCCCGTGTGTGTGCGGCCAGGGCCGAGGCCGAGGCTGGGGCCACGCCCGGGGTTGGGGCTGGGGGCTGGGGGCTGGGTGCCAGGGACAGGGCCAGGGCGTCGGGGCCGGGACCCGGGCTGCGGTCCCCTGGGCTGGGCCGCGTCCGCGTCCGGGTCTGGGGCCGGGGCCAGAGCGGGGGCCGGGGCAGGGGCCTGGGCGCGGGGGGAAAACGTATCTGGGAAGGGATCAGAGGGAAGGGGCGTCCCTTTGATTCCACTCCGATGTGGTTCAATTCTGCTTTGGACGGCGCGTATGAGGAAAGAGGGCCCAGGCAAATGGAACAGAGGAGGACGGAGACGACGACTCCAACGGAAAAGCCCGACTCGAACGAAAAAGCCCCTCACACACGACGACAGGGTCGGCGGATTATATATGGTGCGCTCCAAACAGGGCCTTGCCTTCGAGGATCGAGGGAGTTGTCATCTCTTCCGTGGCGGAAGGCGGCGGAAGTTCGGCGGAAGTCAGACGAGGCCGCATCCGCCGGCGGAAGCCGGCTCAAGGGCGGCCGAAGGTGGCGGAAGTAGAAATTGCGCCCCCAAGGGATTCACCCACTTTTGGGTTCGGTGTGTCCGGAATCCGCCATATCTGTGTATAGCCGATCCCGAACCCGTCTCCCTCCAGGGGAGGGGAGGGTCGAAGTCTCGCCCTCCCTACTCGCCGCCGGAAAACGACGACGACGACGTCTTCAACGACGACGCCGACGACGACGACGCCGACGACCCCGCCGACGATGACGAAGACGAACGACGATGACGATTACATTACGACGACGAGCGACGACGAACACGACGACGGCGACGCCGACGACGACGACGACGTCGACGACGACAGCGACGGCGACAAGGAGCAACCGCGACGGCGACGGCGAACAGCGAACGACGACGAAGACAAGGACGACAGCTACGACGTCGACGACAACGACGACGACGACGACGGCGGCGGCGTCGTCGTCGACGACGGCGGGTGGCGCCGGCAAACGACGACGATGATGACAACGACGACGGCAAACGACGTCGGGTTCTCGCGTGCTGGCTTGATCACGCACCATGGTTCCATGCTCTAACGTCCCGCCCGCCCGACCCGACCTACCCGTCAGGGTCTGCCTGCCCGCGCGCCCGCTAGCGTTGTCGTTGTCGTCGTCGCCGTCGTTCGTCGTCGTCGTCGTCTCCGTCAGTCGTTGTCGGTCGTCGTCATCGTCGCGTCGTCGTCGTCGTCGGTCCGTCGTCGTCGTCGTCGTCGTCGTCGTCGTCGTCGTCGTCGGTCGCCGTCGGTCGCTGTCGGTCGATGTCGCCCGTTGGTTGTCGGTCGTCGGTCGTCGGTCGTCGGTCGTCAGTGGCGGCGTCGGCGGCGCCGTCGGCGTCGCCGTCGGCGTCGTTGTCGACGTCGTCGTCGTTGTCGTTTTTCGTCGTCGTCCGTCATTCGGCTTCGTCGTCGTCGTCGTCGTCGTCGTTGTCGTCGTCGTCGTCGTCGTCGCCGTCCGTCATCGTCATATACCGTCATCGTCGTCGTGATCGTCAGCGGCATCGTCATCGTCGTCTTTATTGTCATTGTTCGTCGTCGCCGTCGCCGTCGTCGTCGTTCGTCGTCGGTCGTGTTTGCGGGCACCCGCCGTCGCTGTTTGCCGCCTCTCTGATTCAGGGGGGAGGGGGGTCGAACCTCCCCCGTTGAATCAAGGAGGGGTGGAGTGAGGGGGTTCAGGGGGGAGGGGAGTCCCCCCCGTCTTTGCGGGCGCGCGGGCCTGTTCCGACGTGTCGTGGGAAGTTTCCAAGGCTAGCGCCCGTGAAACGCTCTCCTTCCTATATATGTGCATGTTTTCTAGATGTCTATGTACATGTATAAGAATATATATATATATATTTATATATGTATATATATATATATATATATATATATATATATATATGCTCGCCCCCCCTCCTATGATCTACCTTATGTCTTTTTTGTAACACAAAGGAGCACAGTGAATCAGCGAGACCACTTCGAAATCATACCTCGCGCAGCATATGACTTGGTCTGATGCGGGAAAGGAGCATCGCTCGCAAATGACATAAACAATTAATAAAGACTCTTGAGCATTTCACCAGTGCAAGCCCACAAATCCGCACCTTTGTTCCAGTATGTCCACTGGGCGGAACGAATGCGGCGCGTTGCGGCAAGGGTGCCAACCCTGTGCGTGCGCGATTGCAAATGCTTCCGCAGATGCGACCAGAATCGATCGATGATCTGCGTTCCCGACTTAGTGTATATCTGCTCGCCAGTCGGCAATCTGTGGGCCACAACCTCAGAGTATTTCGGCTTGATCCAGCGTGTCACCCCTCGCAGAGTAACCTTCTTCTTCATGTGGACAACATTGTCGTGCAGAACCTTCGGGATCTTGAGCTTGTACGCTTTCGCCCCGTCTGTGTGCAGCACGACCTCTCGGTTCTCAAGGTGTCGCTTGGCAATAGGCTTCCAGTCGCGTTTGCGGATTGGGCCAGGCCCTGGAGCACGCCGCTTCGTCGTGCATGGATCAAGACGCGTCAGGACCAAAGTGTTCGGCCTGCCCCGCTCGACTAATCCTCCCCATTGTTCCCATTGCACTGGCTTGTCCTGGTCATCCTTCTCCGCATCATCCCTCTTGCCCAGGTCCACCTCGTCCGCCTCCACGTCCGGCCACTTGTCGATAGCGCCGAACTTGATGCTCTTTTCCTTCTTCTTTACATACTTCATCCTGGCGCTGTCAAGGCGAGTGTAGACATTCTCGATGAGCTTGTGGCTATTACCAGTTATCTGGTGGCACTTGCTCTGTGCCACATCCCAGGTCGCACGCATGCAGACAGCTACCTTGTCCGCGAATGGCGCTGATGCGTTGCCCCGGCCATGTGAAAACACAGGATGGTCGTGATGGGGCAGCACAAACTTCTGGCACCTTTTGCTCCTGCATCGGTAGCTCGCGCTCCTGCCTGGAAAATTCTTCAATGGGCCCAACTCCCCCTCCCCGCACCAGGGGCAGATCTCGCCGCGCCAATCGCGAAGATGGCCGCTCGCGGTGAGCTTCTTCACTAGGCCCATCGCAGTGGCGGTGTACACGGTCTTCAGGGAACATTGGATTGCAATCCGTTCTGGGCGAGATTTAATAGTCTTTTGCCCGTGTCGAACGTAAGGCACGTATGGGGTCTTGTGCTTCGCAGCTGGCCTTTTTGCGATCTTCCTGACCATGCGCGCCTTCCCACGCTTAGGCATGCAAGACTGAAAGGCACTGGGCCTCTTCGTGCACGGCCGAGTGGACCCAGCAACCAAATCCAAAACATCAGCCTCGATACTAACTTTGCCGTCATCTCCGTCAGCCACTCGGAGCAGGCGAACGTGGCGTCGGCCATCGTCCCAATGAGTAACCAAGTCGTATAGAGCCTCGTCACCCATTTGCATGACGACTTCCTGACGCGAGTCGTAAACCAACATCATCGGCGACCCCTCGCGGGCACGAAGACCAATTGCATGTCCACGAGTTCCGGGTGTGCCGATATGCAGGACAAAATTATCCATGGGATCCGCGCAAATCAAGTCGCTCAGCAGTACCTCGGAGAACTTGAGAGGGGGGTAGAGCTTCTGCAATTGTCGGTAAGAGTACGGGCCGCTAGCGAACCCTGCCTGGCTCGGCTCCCCCGCAACTAAGTCCATGTTTGTGAGAGCACTGATGACGCACATGTTCTCACCGTGGACAACCTCGAGCGCCTTGCCTTCCAACTTCTCGCACGCAGCCGCCAGGACGGAAGAGAAGTCGTCCTCGTGCGGCCGAGAAGAGGAACTGCTGCCTAGAATGCGGTCGCCTGGCTCGGGAGCGGCGCTCCTCCAAGGAATCGGCGCGCCGCTTAAATCCTTCAATTGCAGAGATATCCCGTGGCCGGCTTCGATCGCAGACACATGTGCGATGAAGTTCTCGTCGTGCACGTCGAGCCCCATGGGTCTGAAGTAAATACCGTCGTAGACTAAAGAGATCGGCACCGCACCTGCTTCTTCCAACAGGTGCTTCATGTCCATCAGGACACTGCACTCCAGTTCGCCGAGGAAGATGTGCAGCGAGCTGCAATCTGGTCGCGCCTTCGCGACCTCCTGGTAAAGAACGTCGTGCTCGAGAAGAAACCGAGAAGCATTGACTATTTCCGTCTGCAAACAGTCCAAGTGTGGGAGCCAGTCAGGCCGCTCCTGTGGATTTGGCGACTGCCGCCCGTAGGGGCTGGTTGCCGAAATCAGCAGCTTCTTCGCGACGGCCACCTCGACGTCGAAGTACTTAGACACAAAAGTCTTCCATCCGTCCCAGTTGCTGACAACGTTGCACAGAAGCGGGAACTCTGCTTCGACGTTGAGCTGATCGTGCTGCTTTAAGGCAACAACCAACAAGCTGAAAAACGCAACCTTCATGTCGAGTTCTAAAACGCCTCCTGGAATGCCGGCCAAGGCGGCGCGCCGAGCTTCCCTGGTAACTTTCTGGAGTGAAGGTCCCGCAGTATGAATTCGCCCAAATCCATATTTCATGTAGGTCCGAAGAAGACTCCTCAATGAGCGCTGTCCGCCGTCTGCAGCGACTTCCATGGATGCGGTTCCTCGTTTCTCCAATAAGCGAGAATATCCTTGAATCTGGGCCTGCCGCCGGTCGACGCCAGAATCGACGTGGGCAACCAAGCCGTTGATGTCCGCGACGTCCGCCACCGCGCACACAACGGAGCAGTTTGCCTGACGGAATTCCTGCTCTTCATCAGACAACAGGTAGTCTTTATCCTCAGGCCGAGCTCCCATGAGCCATCTTTCGCTGGGACTTGCCGTCGGCGCTGGGATGTCAAAAGACCGGGTAAGTTTCAACATCTTGTCAGTATCAACTGGAAATACTAATGCATAGAGCTGCTGCTTGCCGAAGAAATTGACATCGGTGTCCTTCTGGATCAAGTATTCGGCCAAAGGCCCACAGCTTTTTGCGAGCGTCACAAATTTTGTGAAAGCCGAACCTCTTGGAATATCGAGCAAACTGCATAGCTCTCTCGCGACTTTCCAGTCCCCAACCTGTCTGCCCCTGCCTTTTGCTAATTTGCGCTCCTCTCCATGCTTCTTCTTGTTCTCTTCCTGCCATAATTTTCTCAAGCAGCAAGCTAAGGCGTCCCACTCAGAATCGCTACCACCAGCTCGCTCGCCTGCGGCGCCAGGTGATATATCCATGACGCACTTGGGCCTTGGATCGCACTGCTGGTTGGTCAGACGCTGGATGTACCAGCGCGTGGACACCTTCATGTGCTCATCGAGATTATCTGGTTCGAGTGTGCTCACAATGGCCGACGTGTCCCCGAGTGCATCCCAAGTCGGCTGTAGAATCTCTCTGAAATACACGTGAGCTCCAGCAGGGCACGCCAATATATTTTCCAAAATATCCGAAGCAATTTTCAAGAAGCGGCCGTTCTCGTGGTCGACGTCTTTACTGTCGATAACCAGCGTTGCAAGGCCCACGGCCGACGCCAAATAACGGCGGTCCACTGACTCCGTGGGGGACTTTCGGGGTGCTCCTTCTTCCCCGCGCACTTCAAGATCCTGCGCGGCAACGCTTCGGGGAATCGACATGATAGGAGAGACGTCGTCGTAATTGCAGCTCTGCTGCTTCTTCATTTTGTTGTAACGAACTTCGCTGGAGAATCCGAAGTTTGCCCTGACGATCATCTCCTCGCCCGCAATGAAGCGTTTGAGCACGTCCACGTTGATCCTGACGTTGGCTGAAAGGGTTTTCGACTCTTTAATGCACACTCGCTTCTTGTGAAGGCCGAAGTGCGCACTTTTCCGCCACTCGTTGTCGTCGACGAATATGGCGGGGTCGAGGGTGGCCGAGTTCTGCTTGCCAAAAAGCGAAGACTCCAGAATATCGAATGCGCCCTTGCCATCACCACCTTCTCCGATCGCCACCATCATGACGGGCACGTGGATGCCGAAGAAGGCGCAGTATGTCGAAGCGCACGAGGTCACGAAGTATCCGTCGTTCTTGTAGAAGAAGGAATCGATGTAGTCATGAACTACCTTCCTTACGTCCGATAACGAATACTGTCTCCCGCGGACCACAGGGCAATCGGCGAGCGTAACGTTGGCCTCCTCGTACTTGAAAGGCACGCGGAAGTAGCAGTTGTGCTGCGGATCTGGTTCAGCCAGCTCCATGTTTACGTCCCTGTACCCGTCGTCGAAAACAAACCCCTGGGACGGAGGCTTCTCGGTGTTCATCTTGGCGGTGAATGCTTTCCAAATTTCCGATTTCGAACCTCTCGACGAATCCTGCTCGTAATAAACTGGTAAGTTCGACAAGATCTCGGCGAGCTTGGCTAGGCTGTTGGCCATATACTTTTTCCCTTTGGTCTCCTTCAAATTTCGGTCCCAACTCAGCTTCGCCTTCTGCCGGCATGTGTCTGGGAACTTGTCCAAAGAAGTGCCAAGGTTGACGGAAGCGGCCATGGCTTCTTGGAGCGCGTGGCTCACGTGGTCCCAGCACCAGACGTGCTCCTATCCAGCGACGAGCTAAAGGTGGCGGGACGCAAAGGTAGCCGCGAAGATTTTTCACAGAAAACACATTGCATGCGAAACGTAATTTCCATTGCATCGTAGTATGGTAGATATATTGATTTTCGCGGCTACCTTTCCTCCCGACCTTTTTGCTCGTCGCCGACCTCTGGAACTTCTTCGCATATTAAATAAAGCATGCCTTCTGCCATGCTCACGCTCGGCCGCATGTCGATGGTGGAATCTTTCCGGTTTTCCCACCACCCCTTCGGATTCTTGAAGTTATCGTAAAAGTACAACTCGCCGTCGTGGCTGCGGTACACGTCGCCGTATCGCAAGAGAACGAAGAAAAGCTTGTCTGTGATCGTTATCTTACCAGACGTGATGGTGCCATCCACCAACTCCTTGATCATGGCAAGAGCAGCGAGCAGGTCTTCGCGAGCGACGCACTTGGCCAACGTGGTCGGCAGGTCGTCGCTCGCGCTTGCCACCCAAGTGGCATCGGTAGGAAGAAGCGGGGCAACATCTTGCAGTTGCCTTTGAGCTCGAAGAAAAAGCTGCGGCCCTTCTTCCACTGCAACCGCCTGCAATTGGCTGGCTTCGCCGACTCCGTCCTCGGCAAGGAGGTCGCCCAGACTGTCCGCCAATCTTGCTGCAGATGTGATCCTGCTACGGAAGCCATCGTACTTGGGGCGCTTCGGGGGGGAAGGGCCTTCCCCGCCGTTGCGCTGAACAGGGGCGTCGGCGCCGCGTTGGTCGTCGGCGGCGGGCTCCTCTTTGACTTTGTGGGATGCCGATGCCTCTTCCCCGTCGCGCCCCTGCGCGGGAGGCCCTTCCTCGTCGTCATCGGCATCGCGCTCGCCCATGCTCGGGGCGGAGGTGCCACCCTCGTTCGCGCCCGAAGCGTAGCCGCCTCCGCGGGGTGAACCAAACGAGGCTTCATCTTCATCTGAGATATCAGGCAACGGCTGCAGACGAGGGAGTATGAAGCCGGACACCACAGGCGAATGCGAAAGCAATCTCAGACCCTGTTCCCGAGTAAGGTACACCTGCACGCACCCGCAGTTCCATTCGGCACAAGTGCTCATCACGCGGACGTGCGTGAAATGGTACTGGAAGTGGACCATGAAATCTCCGTTGAGCATTGCTTCTTGGACTGGCACAACGCGCGTCCCGAAGGAGTTGAGATAGTTATTTGCATCCTGGAACGTCATAGGGCCATTCCTGTCAATCGGAACATCGTAGCCAGCTGCTTGAAGAGCCTCGACGCAGCACGTCTCTCGAAACGGGCGATGTCCTGCAGCTCTGGCAGCATAGGTATCCGAATTGAAGATGAACGCAGAATCTTCCAAATGCAAGTTGCACGCCAGCGAGGCGAGATTCCTCATGTACAGTATTCCAGCATCAAAATCGGAGAGATCCACGTTCTCAGAACAAGCACGGGGAGAATCGCGAGGTTCGTCATTCGCCTCGCCTGGGTCGCTGTCGCCAATGTATTGAAAGAACTCGGACACGCACGCAGGCTGTTGGACTGGAAGTAAATACGCGTAGGCAATGAAGTTTGAGATAACGGCGGAGTGCGAAAGCATCCGCAAACCTATGTCTCGACGTAGAAACACTTGTACGCAACCACAATTCCACACGGCGCACTCGTCACACACGCGAACATGCGTGGTCTGCTTGTAGAACAGTGCAATGTAGTTCCCGTTCAACATAGCCTCGCTAACAGGAACGAGATGCGCGCCGAACGGGTTCAGCATGTCGTTGACGTCCTGAAACGTCACGGGGCCGCTTCGCGATACCTGCACATTGAAATCGGCCGCCTGGAGTGCCTCGACGCAAGAAGTGTCCACGTGCGCCCGGCGGCCCTGGTGTTTGGCTGCATAAGACATGCTGTTGAAGACGAAATGCGACTTGTCCACGGAAATGCCGCAAGCAAGCCGAGCGATACCTTGCATGTACAACATTCCTGCTTCAAATTCTGATAACTTCTGGTGTCCAGATTGAACGATTCCCACCCAAGCCTGCAAGGCGGAGTCCATCACTCCCATAAGCGAAACACTGTAGTCCGACGGCAAGCGAGGAAACTGAACTGCACCTCGGTGAGAACAGCGCACTCGCATCAATCACACCCGAATGAACGGGTCACGAATCGAAATCGGAAAGCCCTGCACCCTCGAAGAAGAATCAGAAAGTCAGTCAACGACGACGCCGACTGCACAACTCGCTTCAGCTCGTCAATCGTTCAGCCGACGAATCGCAATCGGTTCGAACGCAAACCGCGCCCCTGAAGGCGCGCGCATAACCATTCTGCGAAATCCGAGGCAGACATGAACCTGGTGGACAACGCCGACCTCTGCGAGTTAAGTGGCAGGTAGCGAATGTGAGAACCTCGGCGGTGCTAGCGATGATAGTGATAGATCGCCTCGATGATTAGAGGAGAACTGATTCAGTCGGTATCGCGTCGAATTAACATCGGGATCTGATCCGATTACATTTCTTTGACACAACAAAGCATGCGCGGCTTCTAAGAACAACAATACGGTGGGCTGAATGAAGTGGGTGATAGTACAATCAAAATGATAGGAACGCGATGTAAGGATACAATGCCCTTGGGAATCCAATGCGGATGTCCTTGGTCGTCAATATTAATTTTGATTTAGCAAGAAAAAAAGAAGAAAGGGTGTCCTTGAAGAGGTCCTGTGCCCTTACCGTCGATTTTGTCTGTGTTCCACATGAGTTTCCGCCGATCGCGATTGTGAGCGGATCCGTCGATCGAGCAACTCGCTAAGCTCTGGGCTGGAGTCGTCTGCGGACGAAGCAATCTCAATTATGTAATCAGATGCCCACTCCTCAGGCATCATACGCCCCACCGGAAGATAGCGCTCCTCGACGGGAGCTCCGCTGTTCTCCAGTGCTCCTCCGGACACATTCCAGAACTGCTTGTCGAGCATGCTCTTCGTGCGGTGGTCGGGCATGTCGCCCTTGAAATCAGCGTGCCAGCTCCTCGGCCGCGGAGGGGGGCGCACCGTCGACGCAGCTTCGGCTCCCTCATTGGCCGCAGCTCTGGCACAGCATCGCCTTAACATGCGGCCGAATCGCTTGCCGAGGCGGCTCGCCTGTTGCGAGCGCCCGTAGAAGCGCCCGTACATGCGGAGGGGGAACGGAACATGCGGCGCTGGGCCCGGTTCCTCCTCATGGCACACTGGAATGGGCGGTGGACACGCTCCTGTGTTCGCCATTGCCGGAGAGCTTCCCGATGATGTGCTGGTGCTTGCCCGCTCTTCGGCCCTGCGTGCCTGGCGTTCCTTCTTGAACGTCGATGGGTCGGAATGAGATGCGTCGCACGACCTGCAGTGGTATCGAACCTTAGCGTGTGTTTGGGTTATTCTCCGATGCGATATGATCTATCGATATGCGCAATCGGCGGTCAGCGAGCGATCAAACGAAAGCCACGAGCGGATCGTCTAACCCTAAGGCAAGAACACCTTTGAATGATACGAGAATGGAGCCTGGCCCGTAAAACAGGCTCTTCCAGAGGATCTTGCCCTTCATGCCGTAGGAGTTGTCCTTGCCTGCCCAATACACGACGTCGTTGACACCGAAGGCGCGGCCCGAGACTGCCCAAGACTTCGTTGTCATGCCTGCCCAAGACTGGAAGCCGTCGGGCAACGAAGGCGCGGCCCACGAAGGGCCAAACCATGAAGAAACGGCGGTCAGGGAGACTGGCATGTCTGGCAGTCCGGGTAGGTATACGGAGGGGTGTGACGCGCTGGTGCGCGCGAGGCTTGAATCGCTGTGGAGCGGCGGGCATCTCGCCTTTCCTGATCATTCTGATCATCATGTATTTCCTCGTGCCCCCTTATTCTCTCTGTTCCCCTACTCTCCGTCCCCCCCTGTCTCACTGGGTATCGGTCTCACGATCCATCTCACCATTTCTTTAGAGAGAGAAGGAAACAAGAAGCTTACTTCTGGGGTGGGATACGGAGCTCTCCCCCACGGCGACGAGCTCGGTTTCATACACCGGCCGAATGCTGCCTGGTCTGGCGGCGGCTGATCGGTTGCCAAAACAGCGCCCTCACGCAAAGCGAGCGCGGACCGAGCGAAAGCCGAAGCTAGGGCCGACCCTCATGCGGGGAGTCGGCTGGTCTCCGTCCACCTCAGATGCAGAAGAAACGTCATATCCATGTTAGATTGAAAAATCGATGACCGTATTAGATCGATCGCCATAGTATTCAATCGGTAAGATAGATCGACCATGTTCCACCACAGCGATCGAAACATTAGACCGATCAGATAATCGCATTGCGCGCATCAGTGATCTAAGGCCACCGCATCAAACAGAATGCGGCGATGCGGGGGCAAGCCGAGGCCCGCCTGGGCGACGCTCTCAATGAATTTCCAGGTGCAGTCCCACCCGATACCCGTCATAGTGGTCGTTGCTCCGTTCTCGTTGGAGACGAAAGTCACGTCGCACTTGCGGGCCTGAGTGTGTCACTGGAATGCCACGCAGAAGTGTGTGCGCGCCCGATGGCCGATGGCATCGGCGATGCGATAATGTCGAGATGGTCGTACGCGCGCGCACGTTGCTCATGCGCATACAGACGCATTCGCGCGCAAAATCAAACAAGCACTCGCACGCACCAAAGAAAATGGCTCGCGCACTGCGGTCATCTCACGATTAATGAGGCAGGCGTAGCGATCGGAAGATAAGAGCAACGCCGCGTGGTTGAAGCCGATGCACGTGGCCACCACCTCCACGTCGGAGTAAGGACGCAAGATGATATCGTCAAGGTCGGGGTCGGCTGGGTACCACAAGGGGCCCGCGAAGCCAGGCGCGTGAAATTGACCCAAGCCCTTGCGGAAGGTCTTGAAGATGGGCCAGCCGTCGATGCAGACGAAGATGCGGTCCTCATGTTGCTTTTACATGAAAACAATATCAAAGACGCAAACGGCTTTCAAAACTTACGATGAAGGAAAATGCCTTTTCAGAAAACACGCGCCACTCAGCGCAGCCTTATCAGGATGTCACGTCTTCCGAAGATAGAAGATTAGTAGACGTGACGGCATCCGTTTGCAGCAAACCTGTTCAGTTTTTTCTTATCGCATTTCAGAACGTTTGCACGCAGTCCTGGCCCGCTGCCACTCGATTGCTCTGACGGATGCTGAGCTTGCGCCACGCCAGGTCTGGCGGCAAGGCAGCGCCAGGGCGAACGTCAGCAACGAACGCCCACTCGAGCGCCATTGCTGGTCGCCAGCACACGTGTATGAATGGACACAGGTAGCAATAATGAAGCACCCGGTCGATAGGGATGCTTGAGCCGATAACGATCTGCGAAGCAATTCGTCACTCGCGGTGTCCTGCGGTGTACTTGGCTGTTCTGTGGTGTCCTGTGTTGTCCTATGGTGTCTTGTGATGTCCTGTGGCGTCCTGTGGTTTGCTGCGGCATCCTGCGGTTTCTGCAGTGTCCTGTGGTGTCCTGCGGTGCTCTGTGGTGTCTTGTGGTGTCCTGTAGTGTCCTGTGGTGTCTTGTGATGTCCTGTGTTCTGTAGTATCTCGTGGTTTCCTGTGGTGTCCTTTGGTTTCCTGTGGTGTCCTGTGTCCTATGGTGCCCTGTGGTGTCCTATGGTGCCCTGTGGTGTCCTGTGGCGGCCTGTGGTGTCCTGTGTTGTCCTGTGGTTTCTAGCGGTGTCCTATGGTGCCATGTGGTGTCGCGCGGTGCCCTGTGCTTTGCAACAGTGTCCTTTGGTATCCTGTGGTGGCATGTCGACTTGTCGTGCTCTGTGGTGGCCTGTGGTGTCCTGTGGTGTCTTGTGGTGTCCTGTGGTGTCCTGTGGTGTCCTGTGGTGTCCTGTGGTGTCCTGCGGTGTCCTGTGGTGTCCTGTGGTATCCTGTGGTGTTCCTGTGGTGTCTTGTGATGTCCTGCGTTCTGTGGTATCCTGTGGTGTCTTTTGGTTTCCTGTGGTGTCTTATGGTGCCCTGTGGTGTCGCGCGGCGCCCTGTGCTTTGCAACAGTGTCCTTTGGTATCCTGTGGTGGCATGTCGACTTGTCGTGCTCTGTGGTGGCCTGTGGTGTCCTGTGGTATCTTGTGGTGTCTTGTGGTGTCCTGTGGTGTCCTGTGGTGTCCTGTGGTGTCCTGCGGTGTCCTGTGGTGTCCTGTGGTGTCCTGTGGTGTCCTGTGGTGTCTTGTGATGTCCTGTGTTCTGTGGTATCCTGTGGTGTCCTTTGGTTTCCTGTGGTGTCTTATGGTGCCCTGTGGTGTCGCGCGGTGTCCTGTGCTTTGCAGCAGTGTCCTGTGGTGTCCTGTGGTGGCCTGTCGTGCTCTGCGGTGGCCTGTGGCGTCCTGTGGCGTCCTGTGGTGTCCTGTAATGTTCTGTGGTGTTCTGTGGTGTCCTGTGGTGTCCTGTGGTGTACTGTGGTGTCCTGTGGTGTCTTGTGATGCCCTGTGTTCTGTGGTATTATGTGGTTTCTTTTGGTTTCCTGTGGTGTCCTGCGGTGTCCTGTGGTGTCCTGCGGTGTCCTGTGGTTTGCAGTAGGGTCTTGTGGTGTCCTGTGGTGCCCTGTCGTGCTATGTGGTGGCCTGTGGTGTCCTGTGGTGTCCTGTGGTGTCTTGTGGTGTCCTGTGGTGTCCTGTGGTGTCCTGTGGTGTCCTGTGGTGTCCTGTGGTGTCTTGTGATGTCCTGTGTTCTGTGGTATCCTGTAGCATCCTGTGGTGTCCTTTCTTTTTCTGTGGTGTCTTGCGGTGTCCTGTGGTGTCCTGCGGCGTCCTGCGGTTTGATGCAGTGGCTCGCGGTGTCCTGTGGTGGCCTGTGCTGGCCTGTGGTTGCTTGTGGTGTCTTGCGGTGTCCTGTGGTGGCCTGCGGTGTCCTGTGGTGTCCTGTAGTGTTCTGTGGTGTCCTGTGGTGTCCTGTGGTGTCCTTTGGTGTTCTGCGGTGTCCTGTGGTGTCCCGTGGTGTCCTGTGGTGTCAAGTAGTGCCTTGTGCTGTCCTGCGGTGGCCTGCGATTTGCTGCGGTGTTCTGCAGTGACCTCTTCCTCTGGCACTTCCAAGTTTTTTCACTGGTCTGGCAGGAAACAAAATGGCGCTTGTTGCTTGATCTCTTAAAGACCAACAAGACCGGCGGCATGCAACGATCACAAGAGAAGGGGGAGGAGGAAAAGGAGAAGGACAAGACAAGACAATCACCATGAGCTCCAACCGATGTCTCTGGAGAGAGCTGAGTGCACTATGCAATCCAGCTATATCAAAATCACCACTGGGCAGAACAACGAATTGAATGCCAAGTGACTCTGGAGCGGCGAGCCTGATCAAGCCAGGAACGTGCCTAGAGGCTGGGCCTCGAGGCGACAGGACGGTACCCTACGGAGCCACGGTGGCTCCAGGGTACGTCCCCACGATCTCCGACGTGTGAGGGGACCGCGAGGGGCACTCCTGAATTTATCCCAGGGCAAGACCCTCAGTTTTAACCCTCGAGAGGGCCGAGGGTAGTGTGAAAAAGGATGGGCTTGCAAACGCCGACGCAGTCGCTACACGACGGAGCCCACAGAGGGGAAAAGAGCACGAGGAGGAGATACTGAAGAGGGCAGGTGCCCTAATTAACACAGAGGCCAAAACCTCGGAAACATCCAATGCCACTCGCCAGTTTCAGCGGGCACATTGCTTTCCACGACGTTCTTCCCAGGGCCGGGCACGAATGCCCGGTGGATCAGCGTGTCCACGAAGTACGCCTTGCCGAACGCATCAGATCCGACCAAAGGGAAAGGTTGCATCTCGTCTCCCCAGCTGTTCACGCACTGGATCTTCCGCTGGCTCCGATTCCGCCTGAAAGCAACCATGGAATGGGACGGCCGCCTTCCGCGCTCGTCGGCAGGGCCCTCCGTGGCCGCCACGATGACGATCGGGCGCCACCCGGCGCACTTGTCCACTTGCCACGACGTTGTTGAGAAAGAAATGCACTCCCGGAGCACGAAACTCATCTCATAC